GTGACTGCGCAGCCCACACCACCCTCAGGACCGGGCGAGCAGGCGCCGGCGCTGGCACCCACGGTGCTTCCCGGCCGCATGCGGGCGTCCAGCTGCAGTGGGCAGGCGCCAGAGATGCCACCAAGGCCAAGGGTGCCCCGGTGGGGGTGGGGGCGCCTTGGTGCACCCCCATAGCCCCTCGTGTTCCCGCAGTGGGCACTGGCCGAGGGCCGCACAGGCGGGCGCCCAGTGTGCCGCCTCGGCTGCTGACCCCGGTGGCTGCGGCGTTGGCTCCCAGGGCCCTGAGACGGGTGGCGTCAGGCGGGCGGGCAGTGTGGGCAACCAGCAGGCATCGGCGACATCCCGGGGACTGGACAGAGCCACACCTGGACGGTGCAGGTTGGGCCTCCTGGGTCCCGCCTTCCTCACCCGCTGCCCCCGCCCCACTGCGGGGCAGGGACTCCCCGCACCCTGGACCCAGTGACCACCCCTCAGACAGGCTCCTTGCAGCAGCGCCCTACAGGTGGCCGTGGGCCCGGCCGCTGCCCTCTGGGGCCGCCTGCCTCGGCACAGACCCCGGGTGGGGTGCGCCAGGACCAGGCGCTGAGGGGGCCGCGGTCCGCTCACCGCACCACCCGGGGCAGCAAATCAGATGACCGCCAGGTCCCCAGCGAGAGACGCCACTTTATGCACAGCACCGGCCCCCCCACCGGCCCCCGGCCCTCCCGCAGGGCGGCTCTTTCCGGAACCCCGGGGCTCCGCAGCTCCTGACAGCGGCCGGGGTGGGGACATCTGGGGACATCCGCTAGGGGGACGCGGAGCCCCGCAGACGCGCGGCCTGCCATGGCCTCCCTCGGCGGTCACTGCCGTGCACTTCTCGTCCTGGTGCTTCTGAACCCCCGCGACGCCCCTTGGCCGAAGCAGATGGTGGGCGGGACCCTGGGAGGGAGCGGGGCGCCTGAGCACACAGCCAGGACCGCCCCGTTGGGTGCCCGCCCGCCCCAGCGGGGTTGCAGGGCCCGGGGCACCCTGAGCTCCTTGGCGGGTTTTCCCCGCGTGCTCGGCGGCTTGTCCCAAACGGGCCGTGAGGTCCGCGTCAACCCGAGCAAAGAGTTGACACTGGACAGTCAGGCCCCGGCCGGGGGCAGCTGCGCCGGGCAGGCCCCTCTACCCAGCACGGCCACCCGCAGGGCAGGGCTCTGGGCCCCAGGAGAGCAGGAGCCACGGGGTCAGGCTGCACCCTGGAGCCGGCGCCGGGGGCCGCCCCTTCTCCTGGGCCCTGCGGCCAGGCCTAGAGCCGACCTGGAGGGCCGGGCACTGACCTGCGGCTCGCGGGCGCCCGGGACGCTGCCGCTGGCTCTGAGCAGACCTCCATGGCGTCTCCGTCCGGGG